AAGGCTGCATGCCGCTCATGTACAGTTGTGCCAGCAACAGATTGTATTTAGCTTTTGAAAGAGAGTTTCCAAAAGCTGAATGCCTAATCTCCCCACTCCTGTTTATATATTGTAAGCAAACTGGTCTGAACCTCTTTGTTTTGTCTTGTCTGCTGCTGTCTCCAGTGCAATGAATCCTGTGCCAAAAATCTGGTACCCAGCAAGCAGAACATAGGTCTGCTTTTAATTATCAACTATAAAAGCATATGGAAGTGCCTTGTTTGTACTGCTAGTCACTGGTATAGGGAAAAACTGATAAAGCTGTAGTCATTTGCACAGATTGTAGTATTTTGATTCTGTGGAAAGAAACTATTTTAGGAGTGCCTGTTTGTTCAAATGACACACCTTCTCAGATTACTGTACACACAGTATCTGACAGAAATCTTGAAATTAATAAAATTATTTAAATTCTTATTTTCAGTTAACCACTGAAGAAATGATTTCTATACAGGCTAAACTGTTCAGAGATTTGTTTTGTCACCTAGGAAGGGAAACCACTTTAATGACACTGAAGGATGATCTTCTCCTGCTGTCAATGGACAGAGGACTGACATCTATTTTCCTGGACCTCTAGTCAGCATTGATACTATTGACTATTAGCTACCACTGACCTGCATAACAAATCTGGCAGGGAGCCAGAAAAATACTGAAATGTTTTTAAGTCCTTTGTGGCAGGATGTATTGCAGTTTCTGAGTTAAATGCACCTCTGACCCTCTTGGGGCTGCCTGAAGGGCACCCTACTTAGGTCTCAGACCTCCAGTCATCATCTTTTTTGAAGTGGAATTCTGGAGTCTGCTTCCTCCAGGTCAGGGTCTTAGGCTGCAATTCACTATGATCATGTCAGCAGGCCTGACTTCAGTTCAGCACCTGCAGTTCTTCTTTCCTTAGGGTGAATGACACATTTTTCTCTCAAATGATAATCCTATCTGAAAATGATAAATAGCTTATATGCATGCCTAGCTTTCCAGGAGTCACCCATCTTCCTTAAGGAGACCCTGGGAGATCTGAAGTATTTGAAATCCTCTCACAGGACTTGATGCTGTTGGACACAGTCTCATGCCTGTCAATTTTCGGCTGGTACCTGTGAAACTCAACTCTTCCCATGTCAGGGCTGTTGTTTTATACAGTTTCAAGTCCTTTCTCTCCGAAGGCCTTCGAACTAAGTCGCACCAATCTGCTAGTCCCAATGTGAAACATTCAAGAGGGCTTGTTACTTGCATTGTTTCTATATTGGGGCAATTTGCATTAGTTACCCTCCATTGAGTTAAGTTCCTTCAGGAAACATTTTTACTTTACCCAACTAGCCAGGAATAAAATCACTGACCAGTCCATAAAGGTATGTATAATATTTATAAAACTAAAGCTGTAGACTAAAAATATTCCATGATCCTACTGCATCTGTCACAGCTCAGTATTGTAGTCCTTGAATAGTCCATATTTCCATAGCATCGCATCTGACAGAGGATGTACCCGAAGAGTAGTAATGGGAAACTGTACCTCAGCCAATAGACTCTTCACTTGTGGAGTCACACAAGGATCGATTCTCTCTCCAGTCCTTTTCAGCATCTACATGCAGCCATTTAGGTGAACTGGTAGGATGATACATACTCAAGTGCCAACAATATGCAGATCACCCACAACTCTACTTATTCTTCAGTATACAAAACAATACCACTGCCACCAAGATGGCTGAATGCTTGGATGAGATCAGCTCATGGATGAAGAATAGATGATTGAAGATGAACCCAAGCAAGACAGGTTATGCTGGTGGCCAGAGGAAAATATTTGAAGAATTTGTAGCTATGGTGCAATCTCTTTTGATTTGAAGGTATATAATCAGTCAGTTAGTACCTAACTTAGGAGTACTCCTAGATTCCTCACTGATAGTGCCATCCCCAAGTAACTCCTTCTACCATCTCCAATTAGCTAGGTGACTGTCATCCATGTTGGTGGATGACCTGGCCTCAGTTATACATGTGTGACTGGGTGCCTCAGTGGACCTCACTAAGAATCTCGGATTCCGGGCAGACTGCAAGAAATAGGGCAGGCAGTCTCCCAAAACTGGTGGTTTAATCTATGATAGTCACCGAACCAGTATCGAAAGAGCTTCTGTAGTACCACACTGGTTAACAAGAAGTCAAACCCAGTCCTTTTAGGCATTCCAGCCCTTGACTCTCATCTAAGCAAACAGGTCTAATATAGTGATAGGTTACTGAAAACCCTATTCATCATACTTAAAATTTTACCAATCCCAAAGGATCACACACTTGCCCTCAGGGGTGTGTGTGTGTGTGTGTATGTATATGTGTGTGTGTGTGTATGTGTGTATGTGTGTATATATATATATATATATATAAATTTAGCTATATTACCCAAATATCACACTGTCAGCCAATCCTTAGTAAACTTACTAAAGATTTATTAATAAAACACAAGAAGAGAGTCACTTGAATGGTTAAGGAATATACATACAAGTGACTTTCAGTTTTCATAGATCAGGATCATAGCAGAGATGTTATATCTTCTGGCTTGCAAAAATCACTTTGGAGTTATTCCAACAGGTTAGAAGCCAAAGGCAGATTAGATGTAAAGTCTTTCCTTGCATTTTCCAGGGTATTCTAAATAACTACTTGAAAGATCTCAGTCCCATGTCTTTAACTTTCCCTGTTTAAAGTTCAGAAGACTAGAGATGAAAGGATCATGCCCAACATCCAGTATTCGTAGCTCTTTAGCAGGCTGACAAGCCTCCTCTCAGAAATTGTCACAGCAGGGCTTTCCTCTGAGGAAGAATAGGCAGTGCAGATAATTTGTGAACTCTTGCTTTGAAGTTAATCTTCTATTTCCTATGTATACACAGGTAAACTAGTTACATTCATTTACATAGCAATTAGCCGGTCCTCCATTTTAACAGAGAGAGGTAAGCTGAGGCAATGTAGATGATGATATTAGTTTCCTGCAGTCTCACATCTTTGATCTTAAGGTTAACTGAACATAGTCACATACATAATGTAAGGCAATTAAGACACACAAAGGCTACATACTTGATTTTTGCATGTATTTCCTGGTTCCATATCACAGCACAGATAACATCACTCTATTTACATTTTACTATTGACCTGTTTTATATAAAGTGTAATGTATACTTTGTTTACACTCCCTGTTCTGCCAAGTAGGCATTTAACACACATTTTCAGTTGAAAAATATCTGTTGGGGAAGGGGTTGTTCTGTTTTTGTTTTTCAAGCTACTTCGCAGAAGTTTACGCAGTTCTCACTAAATAGGTAAATCTTAGAAATAGCTAAAACTTAATGAGTCAGATAACAAGTGTTATATTTTTTTTTCATGGTGTCAATTAAAATCATACTGCAAAGTGTTCAGTGGTGGCAAATCTAACAGATAAGTAAAATTAATGTAATACGTTCCTTTACATTAGTCATGCATATACAAAATGCATTCCAGTTGGAATAGTTTTGGCAAAATCAGTACTTGTAGCTGAGCAAATACATTCAAATGATTTATTTTATGGTAAACATTGATTCATAACTGATCATATGTATAATTGGATTTTGAATGTGGTACATTCTACAGTAGCAAAATAAACACTGCCTGTTGCTCTCCCTGCATGTTCCCAACCTGAGATTGGGTGTCACTGTGCTAGGTTCTTTACATACATACATTGAGAGTCTGTGCCTGTACAGTTTAGTCTATATGAACAAGATACAAAATTGGTGGGAGAAAAGAATTGTTTATTATTAAGCATTTATATTCTGGTAGTGCCTGAAGGTCAAAACCAAGCTGGGCCCTGTAAACCACATCCTCACCTTGTTGGGTGCCCCCTCATCTCTAGTTGCAGTGTTGCACAGTCTTTGACCTGGTCTACACTGGGGGTGGGATCTATCTAAGTTACGCAACTTCAGCTACGTGAATAACGTAGCTAAAGTCGACGTACTTAGATCTACTTTCCGCAGTGTCTTCACTATGGTGAGTCGACTGCTGCCGCTCCCCCGTCGACTCTGCCTGTGCCTCTTGCTGAGCTGAAGTACAGGAGTTGACGAGAGAGCGCTCGGGGATCGATCGCTGCCCGCCGATCCGGTCGGTAGTGAAGACATACCCTTGTCTCTGGCATCCTCTACTGGGCTCTCCCTGAGCCCTGCCATGGTCTTTCTCAGCCTTCATCTTCTCCTGACTCCCCTCTGGGGGAGTCAGATGACACCTCCTGTGACACAGTCATGTGAAAATCTAAACCCCTTCGTGGGTAACATGAACAAGTCCAAATGAAAGTCCAAACAAATATTCAAACTAATAGTACTTCTGTACCTTTCAAGCTCCACGGTAATTCACTTGTTGGTTCTAACTCAGGGATTCCCCTGCAGGGGCCTGAACTGCTTCTGTAGAGTTCTTCCTGCATTGTTTACTGTCTGTTAAAGCCTATCTCAGGGCTTCCTTTTACTTCGCCTCTGCAGTCTATCTCCAACTGATTTCCCTCAGTCTACCTATAAGGCCTGGCTTCATATCTTCTGGCCAGGAGGCAGTTAGTCACCCCCCAGATGGGGAGCATGACAAACCCACTTCTTCAGATACATGGAGTGAAAATTACAGATACAGGCATAAATATATATTGGCAAATGAAGAGAAGGGAGTTATCTTACAAGTGGAGAACCAATGTTGAAGGCCCATTTAGTCAGGGTGGATGTTGTCCACTCCCAATAATTGAGGAGGAGGTGTCAATACCAAGAGAGGGAAAATTGCTTTTGTAGTGAGTCAGCCAGTCCCTATTCAAGCCCAAATTGATGGTGTTAAACTGTTAGGAAACATAATTTTTTTCAATATTCAGGTTATACAGGTACAGTATATTTAAAATTTTCCTAGCTAGAATTGTGTAACTATAATGAATGACCCAGAATTCTAATAATTAAATATTTTCATTAAGCTAACCAGCTATTTGATTTTTTTTTTTCCAGAAAAGAGCTAAAGGCCAGGTGCTATTTGACAAGGTGTGCGAACAGCTCAATTTACTGGAAAAGGACTATTTTGGCCTGTTGCTTCGAGATAACTCAGATCAGAAGGTAAGCACTAAGATTTGTTTTCGTGTTACTAGAATGTTGTTAGATTCTTTTTTTAGCGTAACTTCACTAACAAACTTGGAGAGCTTGGCTTGTTTAACCAAAAGAAGACTGAGGGGAGATACAATTGCTCTTTATAAATATGCATCCGAAGAAGTGGGTTGTAGCCCACGAAAGCTTATGCTCTAATAAATTTGTTAGTCTCTAAGGTGCCACAAGTACTCCTGTTCTTTATAAATACATCAGAGGGATAAATACCAGGGAGAGAGAGAGAGGAGTTATTTAAGTGCCAATGTGGATGCAAGAACAAATGGATATAAACTGGCTATCAACCAGTTTAGGCTTGAAATTAGATGAAGGTTTCTAAACATCAGAGGAGTGAAGTTCTGGAACAGCCTTCCAAGGGGAGCAGAGGGCACCAAAAAACTAACTGGCTTCATGATTGAGCTTGATAAGTTTATGGAGGGGATGGTATGATGTAGCTGATCTGGGACTGCTAGTAGCAAATATCCCCAATGGCAGGTGATGGGACACGAGATGGGGAGGGTTTTGAGTTACTACAGAGAATTCTTTCATAGGTGTTGGCTGGTGGGTCTTGCTGAAATGCTCAGGGTTCAATGAATCACTATATTTGGGGTCTGGAAGGAATTTTCCCCAAGGTCAGATTGGCAGAGACCCTGGGGTTTTTTGCCTTCCTCTGCAGCATGGGGCACAGGTCACTTGCAGATTTAAACTAAAGTAAATGGTGGATTCTCTGTAACTCGAACTCTTTAAATCATGATTTGAGAACTTCAGTAACTCAACCAGAGGTTATGGGTCTATTACACGACTAGGTGGGTGAGCTTCTGTGGCCTGCGGTTTGTAGGATGTCAGACTTAGATGATCATGATGGTCCTTTCTGGCCTTACAGTCTGAGTCTAAACTGGGAGACATAAATCATGCTGGAAATAATCTTAGTATGAAGCCCATAAAATGTGAATTTATTTTAATCTGCTGGAAATTGGCTAAACGTTCTATTGTGACATATTGGCTCATAGGGTGAAATGTCTAATGGGATGTTACGTTACTTTAGGATTTTGAGAGGTTTTTTTAAATCTTTGTGTATACAAACCTGTACATGGGGGTGATATTTTAATATATAAGCATGTCATTTCTTTCTGTGAAGGCACATCATTTTTAGTGAAAACCTTAACAAACTTTGGATGAGCCACCGAAGCTGGGAAGTTTAATCAATCTTTTGAGTTTCTCTTCTTCTTTTCCTCTTTTTTCTGTGCCTTCCATACTACTTTCATCTCCCAACCAAATCAGAACTTTATCCCCATTTTCAAATTGCTTCCTTGCTTTTCCTGATATCTTTAGTAATATTTTGTTGGGAGGATCCCAGGCCTAGCACTTTAACTGTTAGGCTCTGGTTTTCAAATGTAATGAATTTCTATCACTTTTCCAAAATGCATTTCTTCACTCCCAAATCTTGCGCTTGAGGGAAGCCTCAGCATTTATAAAGATGAAACTGCAGCTAGTTCCCCAGTACTGGAGTTTTGGTTTATGGGGAGAGGTTTTTTAATGATTCCACCTAAAATCAGAAATTGTTTTTTTCTAAAACTTGATAATTTCCCCCCTAGCCTTATTCAGCATTACCTTCATCTGCTTATAGGATGGGGTGGGATGCATATTTAGATTGCAGAATTTATTTAAAAAAAAAAAAAAACTTTGGTCAACTGAAAGTTTTTATCCATCTCTTAATTACCAGTTGCTGACTTATCTTTCTAGCAGTGTTTGAATATTTATGAAACAGCTGTCTAAAACTCTGCTCACAAATAAGTTATGTACTACATACAGCACTCTCCATTTTTCCTCCAAAAAGAATAGTAAATAAGAAACTTTTTTGTATTTTTAATGTTCAAACCTCTCTCTTTTTGGATACTGCAGCTAGCTTATATAATGTCTCTTCTGTCCCCTACTCCCCTCAGTCCACTTCCCGCCTCCTCACGAAATACAGTCATATGTGTTTCAAGTAGCTAATACAGAAACCTCTGCCGTTCCATTTATGCTTGCCATTCACAGGATTTCTCAGATTTAGTAGTCTTTTTTTATACAGTCATATTGCTATAATTAGGCTGAACAAGGTGAGCGAAGGTCAGAGTTTTCCACGGTTAGCAAATTCTAATCTTTTCATTGAGAGCCTTGGATCCTCAGATGTTCTTGACAAGTTTACAAGTGAGAACCATTTCAGTACATCCAGTACTGGGTGTAAAAAAACAACCCTACTGACTTAGTATTGTTCTGAAGACTGAATGCCACTTCATAAAATAGTTTCTGAAACATTACTGTTAAAAAAATTGAATAAAAATGAATGGATTTTGAATGTTTTCATACTCTGCATATAATTTACAGTGTGTACTATGAAATACCCAGCGTTTGCTTCTCCTCAGTGATTGCTGCACAGTGGTGTCTCCTGCTGTGGAGGAAACCACAGTTACTGCAGTTTCTAATAGGACTCTGTATTTTCACTACAGCTTATGTAAGTGGATAGTTGCATACAGTAATGCCTTCATTATTGGGAATTCAAAGTTGAACAATTACTACTATAGCTGCTATTAATATCAGTATGGGTTTCTTTGTACTATATGTACATGTGTATATACTTTTTCTTCACCCTTCTTCACCTCTCTGCTGTCTTTTATATTGTCAGTCACATTCTCTTCATTGCCATCCCATCTTCCCTAGCGTTTTTGCAGCAGCTTTGTCCTTCCTTAGTAGTTCTTCTACTACTCTTTCAACATCTGCCTTAGCTGTGGTTCCACTTCTTCTCTGTGGCGATTCCAGTTAGCTCTGTCTTTGGACCCCTGTACCTTATGCCACTTAGGGAATAAAAAAAGTATATGAGCCGATTTAAAAAAATTACTTTCAAGTCTTAAACTTTTTGTTTGTCAGTAGTTAGAAACTCTGCTGGAAGCCCATGTAAACACACCCATCCAACCTCTTAACCCTCCGACTTCCCCACATTTGCTACTGACTGTTTCCCACTTCCCTAAGACTCCTGCACATATTGCTGGCGCCCTGCCACACGTAGAAAAGTGTTGCAGTACTTAATACTAAATAAAACTGTAAAGGAAAAAAAACCCTCTATAATCTAACTTGGAACTAAGAAAGGTCCTCAGGTCAGGTTTGAGGTGCTTTGACATAGCTGTGTGTGAAGTGTTGTTTTTATATATAAACTGGATCTCACCAGTATTTTAAAACTTACTTTTATGAGCACCAGCATTCATTTAATGTGTTAATGCTGTAAAGCAAGAAGATAAATTTGAGGAGAAAGCAGGCTTTTGTCTTAGTCTTATAGAACGAATTAGAAGATGTTGATTACTTAGCTGGCCTCTGCTGGATTCATTTGCAACTGTTCTTTCACAATAAAATCTGAAGCAAGACACAAATGATGCCTTCAACCATCTTATATGTGAGATCTCATGGTGCCTTGACAGTTTTGATATTAATTGTTCAGTATGACTGGAGCAAGAGCTTTTTGGCATCCCTTCCCGCAGAAGCAGAGGCTGCTTTGAACCACTGATTTTCAGCAGCAGTAATCTCTGGTTGTTAGGTATTCACTCTAGAACATTTCAATCTTGCCAGTATTCACCTTCAAAGACCAGTCTGTTTGAGAGGCTTGGATCCTTTTAATACTTGTTGGCCACTGAGTGCTAAATACACGAGTCCATAACAGAGGGACTATAAAGTCAGCTTTAAATAAACTCCTCTAAATAACGCTTCCTAGTCCCCCAAAATGCGTGTACTTTTAAAGCTTAACAGTAGCAAGAACTGCAGGAACTCCAATCCCTTCTTGCAAAGAATGCCACTGAACTCCTGCTGCCAGGTAGGAGTTGAAAGGTTTTTTTTATTCCATGTATTTTCTGATCTCCTCAGTGATGATGACAGGCCCATCCTGATCTTGACATATCAAGTGAAATAAATTTAAATGCGGTCTCTGAATAATTATGCCCTTTCTAGAGGAGGATGGATGGCCAGGCATGTGCTGTGAATCTTGTACATACTTTCTTCCTTTGTCTGAGACGGAGGTGCATTTATTTCTGTTTATCAGGGCAACACTACCAGTTCCATGTAGTGTGTTTTTTTCAGACTTGCATCCATAGTGCATGTTCACAAAATACTTGATGGTTGGGACTTTGTAGCTATACAGAGTGGGACTACATAAAATAGGTGCACTCAGATTTTTACCATTTTAAAAATTATCTGTTCTAGTCATAGTCTCATTACATATATATGGAAATATTTCATATTTGTAGTATTTTTCAGAATGGTAAAAAACTGTATGTTCCGCTTTGCTGTGTAAAGCTTTAGGTCTTTTGCACGTATCTGGGTTTTAGGGAAAGACCATATGCTTGAAATTCTCCATCTCCTATTACATTCCTCTTTTGCACAACTCTTTTCCTTTGTGTTTCAAAATGGTCATCTCACTTCTTGAATTAATTGATCCAGAAAAAAACAAAACACTGTTACTAGCTGCTTTGAGCCACAGATTTAAAATAAAAGCAGAGGGTTGGAAGCTTCACAGTTTTTATGGGCTGGTCTTCTTTTCTATTCCCCCTTTCTGTATTAAGATTCTGAAGATTGGATTGTTTCCTCATCTTGGCGCCAGCTCATTCTGATCCATTTTTTCCTGCTGTGGCTGTTGCCTCCTTAGATTAAAATGCCACAAATCTCTGACCTCCAGCCCAGTCAGTGCTAAATGCTGAATGATGTGTTTTTCCCATTCTTGTGCACTCATCACAGCCACTCATTTATGAGCCAGCTGTTGTGCTAGACTGCAGCTGTGGGGTGTGGAAACTGAATGCCAGGCACTCTTCTGAGTGGAGAATTAGAGCTGCTCCCTAATGCAACATCAGGAGTGCGAATAGAGGGGATCCTATTGATTTTTTTTCCATGTCAGTGTTCTGTGCAGCTGGGAGAGATGTATTGTAACTTAAAACTAGACTTCATTAGCATTTATTAAACTTTAAAAAAAACTGTTATAAAGTAAAATTACACTTCTCTGAAATTTTAGAGTTTGTAGAAACATTAAAGTTGTTTGCTAAAAGTTTAGATGGCATGTAGGGTAATGAAATCAACAGGGAGTTCATGAATGCTCCATTAATACTCTGTTTTGTGCTCTTATGATGATCTGTATCACAGCTGGAAATGCTGCTTTTCTGGATTTGTACAAAAACACTTTTTGTATTTTGACATTTTCTGACAATTCATTACTCTGTCTACTTCTGTAACCCTACCATTTACAAATGTAACAGAATGATCTTGTTTTGCCTACTGGATCAAACTTAACATGTATTAATTTAAATCTTCTGTGCTAAAACAGTCTTTTCCTTTTCACAATAAGCCAAAGCAAAATGGTCCATATCAGGATAGACTGTTCAGATAGATTTACAATACTCTAGCCAAAATGAAGGGCACAGAAAAAAACATATTCTTGCATGCATGTGAAATATATAAATTTAGAGAACTATTCCTATGTATTATAGCCAAGGTCCCATATTATGTAGAACATTAGACCAATCTTATGCAGTGAGGACCACTGATTTTTATCTGGCAGAGCTGCCCTGAAATCAGTGGCAAAGATATACAACATAAAGTTAATTAACAAATTTAGGAAATTGCTGCTCAAACTGTGAACTACTTCCAGGTTTAGAAATAATCAGAAAAAGTGAACCTAGTATCTTTTACAAAACAAAAGGCTACCTTTTTCATTTTAAAACTTTCTTGTTTTTATGTTCCTGTTTTCCACCAATATAGTTTAAAGTAAATAATGTTGCTCTTTATAAGCAGATATGACTCTGAAGTATACTACTGCATCATAGTATTCTGTAATGGTAATGCCAAAATATTATGTAAAAGTGGTACGTATATGAAATTGTTTTGCATAATTTTGACTAAGTTCTAAACCATTATCACTGTATTTGAAAGAAAATTATGACAAATGTGAGCTTGCTTATTTGCAAACTTAATGTGGGAAACCTCTAGAGGGAAAGCTACTGACTTAGCCTTTAAATCATTGTTATTGATGTAAAATAGCATAAAACTCTTCCTTGCTCATTTCAAGAATTGTGTTAATGCTAGAACTGAAAGCCTAGCTAGACACACAGAAGATGAACTCCTGGCCTCATTTTGAAACCAATGGCAAAACTTCAATTAACTTCATTAGGACCTGGATTTCACCTGGAAAGTCTTTTCCACTAGATGGCAGTTGGGTGGCTTATGAAGAGTAAGTGATGTCCAGGTTTTTTGTTACAAAAAAAACCAAGAAGATTTAAAACAACTACTATACAGATTGCAGTAGCCTTGAACAAATTTGTAATAGCCAATGCAGAAGCAGGCTGACTCAGTCCTTCTCCTGTAAGAAATTCTGAATGATTTTCATAATTTTAAGAAATTTTATAGAAAAGGAAATTTATAATCACTTCTACTTATAAAAGTTAAAATATAGTTGCTTATATTATAGAACACTATTGAAAAATCTTCACTGCTCACTCCAAAATGATGAGATCTTATCAAAAGGAAATTTCTTGGCGCTCTGGGATTTAGTTTTGTTTTTCTTAGGTGAAGTGAAACACTGTTAGCTACTGATTTGGGATTTTTAGTTATGTGTGTGCAAATAAGTTAAGGTATAGAACTAGAGTGGAAAATCTTGTTCATCTTATGTTATGATCACCTTTTCCCTGCAGGTGCTATCATTAGTTTTTAAAGAAATCTAAGGGCTTTTCTGGGCAAGGGAAATTTTCACGAGTATAACCAAAAATAGCTTGGACCAGTGTGGTTCACTCCAGGAAGTTCGTGGGGTAAGTCACACTGGTGCAAGGCATGTCTATGTTAAAGGATTCCACTAGAGTGAAAATATCAATGTGGTTACTTTGGTGCAAAATTGATGCTCCACACAAGCCCTAAGGAACTGCAGCTTAGTGCATTTGGTGTTACTGAGCTAAATTTACCTAAGGCAAGAAAAGACTCTGGTACAGACCTTGGGAGCATATAAGCACAGCCCCAAAAGTGGAATGCATTGGAAGGGAGAGAATGTAGCTAGGTCAGGCAACAAATGCACTGATACAGATCTTCCCTCAACAGCCTTGGCAGTATAGCACCTCTGGAATCTCTGGGAGATTTTAAAGCAGACACCTGCGGGGTGGATGGTGGAGGTGAAATTATTGCCTGTCTTGCCCTTAAAGGTTCAGCCTCTATCTCTTTCCTCACCCCCCTCTTAAAATGCATTAAATCTGATTTAGTGAGTATGTATGTAGAATTTAGAAATGAATGTTTTTATACAATGTTCATTACCATGATATTTGAATGCAATGGTTTCAAACAACCTCGACTTGATTTGTGCCAATAAACAAAAGGCTCTATGTTACAAGTTCCTTAAACTGTGCAGGCCTCTTTTACATAACGTCTGTGGATAAGATTAGCAATCTGGATAATTCCAGTTACTAATAATTACATTTTTTGTCTTTCTAAATTCCCCTCCTCTAGAAATACTTCTGGATGATCAGTCACAGGGTTAATGCCTAGTTACACCAATTTCAAATGGTAATAGAAGCATTGTGTGCTGCCTAGTAAATTATTGTATTGGGATGCTTTCTGTTTTGAAGGTGGTACATCCTTTATTCGCTAGGCTCCTAATTCTGAAAAACAAGCAATTTTCACCTTGGTGCCTAAATATGGATATGGATACTTGTGTTTGAACATTTTGGCCAGTGCTTTTAATGCCATACTTGTTTCACAATGAACCCTTTGAAGGTGGGAGGGGGGGAGGGACAATATGGAAAAAAGTAAGCTTTGTGAACAGATCTTTTCCAACACTTCCTAGTGTTGCCAGAGCTAGTGTTTGGGTGACGTTGAGAGAAGAAAGAGTATTTTATTGTGTAGAAAATGGGAGAGAAGTATCTTTCATTCAGTAACTTTGTATTGGTTTGCAGGCAGGAGTAAGTAGAAATTACACATAGGGGTCTGCTTTCTGTCAATAAAAGGAATAAATGAAAGGAAATTACTTGGTGATTTGTAAGGTATAATTTCCTTGAAAATACTCATTAGAAGACTATAAAATATCATTTAATTTCCAGAATTATAAGGTCTTGTCTAAGAGAATGAAGTAAAAAGTGTTGCATAATAAGCTCTGTGTGTGTGGGCGGAGGGTGAGGAAAATCAAAGCACAGTTCTTGATGGAAAGTTACTAGTTAACTCAAAAATTCTACAGGGTACTTTCAAAGTAGAATATCAGAAGAATGTACTGTACAAGTATTTATTTTAATTCATGAAATTATATCACACTCTTTCGTTTGTCTGAATTATTTCCTTATGTACTGATGTTCTTCCTTTTTTAGAACTGGTTAGATTCTTCAAAGGAAATCAAGAGGCAAATTCGAAGTAAGTACACCTGTATTGATGTTAAATTCTTGAACTCAATTTTCTAATACAGAAATATATTTTCTCAAAGTTAAACTTTTTAAAAGAAATCTTGGATATGGCAGGAATGGTCATGATGAAGATTTTTAAAACATGATTTCTACTGACTCTACAGTCCCATCTACAGATAGTTGAGGAGCTATGTGAATGCACAGTTGTCTACAATGGGTAGTGATGTCCATGGTATAGCAGATTTTTATTATCAGTGTGGATAGGATTATGCCGGTCTGTAAATGTTTTAGGCCTGGATTAAAACATCCCTCACTAACCTAATTAGTCAACAGTGTGTTGTGATGACACTGGCAATAAATGTTTTACACATATAATCCCCTACCATGGTGAAGAATTGTGCACTATCACAGTTAAATCTTTTGCCTGGTTATTGGATGGGTTTGGACAGTTTACCAGAGATCTAATGTTGTTAGCCTATTTCAAAGCTGTCATGATATTTAACTTGCTAATTGACTTTGTAAATTTTATACAGTTACCAATCAGGTAACTCTGGTATTTGCAGTATTCAGAGTGCTTCCTGTCATAATTATAGGAAAATACAAGGGAATCCTAGCTGCTTTAGTAATCACATCCTTTACTTAGGCAAAGCTTTTCAGTACTAACGCTAAGTTTAGAGCTCTCTTCTCCAGCTCACCTGGAGTTGCAATTCTGGGTGGTAACTGTCGTGGTAACTTCAGGAAAACTCTTTGATTTTAGGGAGTCATGTATGTATGTTTACCTGTTTGCATGATCTTATTAACCTGACTCCTGTCATCTTGATTTCCATGCTTAATCTAAAGAAATCACAGAAACAATGATTTAATTATTATAGAAGGATATTGAACTATAGAAAGGTTTTTTTCAATGTCAGAGCAGTGTTTCTAATTTGTTTTTAGACCTGGTGTTTTATGCATATGTGCCAAATGCAGCCTACCTGGTAAAGAGAGGAGCAATCATCCCAGAATATGGAATTCGGAGTGAATTTCTCCCAGTTCCCTCATACAATAAAAAGAAAAGGCAATAAAAAGATCCCTATTATGAAATATCTGGCCTTTTCCAAAATTATTTTAATTAAGTTTCAGTAATTTTTAAACGCATAAATTGTTGAAGGAGTTGAAACAAATTAGTGTTAGTAAAATGGAATAAAAGATGAATATAGATTTTTATTGTTGTCTATACTTACAATTTTCTATCCAGTTTATTGCTGACTGTGCTGAGATGTCACGCGGTCATAAGTACTCCATAATTACTGTACTTGATACCTCCCAAGGTGATGATCGGGGTTAATCAATAAGATGGGTATCTGAACTTTTCCGTGTCTGTTAAATGTTAGTTGTGTTAAAATGTGGTCTTCAGTGACTGCTGGGAGACATTTTATGTAACTCATTAAATGAAATGTCTCTTGCAAGCATCTTGTGTATCAAATATGGTCATTATGATGCTTGCTTGTTTATATCAGCCTTTGAAAGACTTATTTTTTTAACAACCAGGGAGTCTTTAAAGACTCCCAATGCTTTTAGCCACTGTTTTTGGTAGAGGTTTTTCTTCTTTGTGCTAAAAACCACGAATGTATACTTCAGCCTGCTTTGCAGCGTGGGGGCAGAACCTGACCCGTTAGTCACTAGCAGCAGGGAAAGGCCCAACTTCCTGAAATTCCCTCTAGGCTTTTTTCTGCCCCCACTTGACCTCCTTGCTGCAGAGCTTTTCTGAGGAAAATTCTGAACTTTCACATTTTTAGACTAGCAATCAGTTTTTAAAAAGTGGGATTCAAATCTGGCTCATGTAGATATGAGGCTTTGGGATCAGACGTTCACACACATCCGTTACCAGTGATACAATTGGAAAATTATGAGAAGCTGTGGCTATTAAGAGTGTTCAGAAAAGTCCTCTTACAATCCTGGCTTCTGACAGACTCTACAGAAAGGTAGTCATGCAACAAGATCAAGCAGTCTGGGAAGTACAACAAAAGAAAATGTCTTTGCAGTAATAGTTAGAACAAATGCAGGGTCAATAACTACCCTCTTTTGCTTTAGTTATCTGCAGTTTTCCCAACCAGCCCTATTTGGAGCTAGAACCCAAACTGGTGCCAGGCTCTGTCAGTTTGATTAAATGAGGTCAGTAGAAATTGTCTAGAGAGAGTACCCTGTGGAATTGTGCAAGAATTCCAGGAACAGCTTTGTCCCATTCCCAATCTCAGCAACCAGGTGAAAGGCCATGGCATGAATTTAATCATCTATCAAGTGATTTATTTCTATTTCAGGTTGGAGTACACCTCTACTTTGATATAACGCTGTCCTCGGGAGCCAAAAAATCTTACCGCATTATAGGTGAAACCGCATTATATTGAACTTGCTTTGATCCACCAGAGTGCGCAGCCCCGCCCCCCCGGAACACTACTTTACCACGTTATATCCGAATTTGTGTTATATTGGGTCGCGTTATATCGAGGTAGAGGTGTATTACAGGCTGCTCCCTATCCTATTTCTTCCTCCGGATAATCTCGGGGACACAGCACAGGGCCCTCTCTGAAATATCTAAATAAGTTCCTAAAAGAAGCTTGCCTTCAAAATATTCCCATTTTACCATCCTCAGACAATGTTTGTTCTTCAAAAGGCTGGCAGCCTTTTTCTTTTCTCTTCTTCGAGCATTTTTACATAGGCTCCCAGGGGGTAGCAATAATATTGGCTTTAGGGAAGAAGGCAAATTACTTTTCTCTTCACAGACAATTTTTCTGATCAGGATTCTGTGCAGATAGAAAGCTGAAGCAAACACACAGTGATATGGTTACAAATTCAGTACAAACAAAAACATGTCAGGGAAGTCAGCCATAGGCTTGAACTGAAGATGAATACTATCCGGTACAGGGTCTCATCTCAGAAGAATGTTAACACAAGATGGAAAGAAGGAAGGAAGGAAGATGGCCACAATGAAAAACGTGTCAAATAGAAACAAACATCCAATTCTTGTTGGAATCCATTTTGAATTCTGAAATCGTATGTAGGTACGCTTCAACAATCCAGAGTTCATATGATGCCTACCCAGTAATCTTGAGTATCCCCTCCGCATCTCACCCTATCTCTTCCATTGACAGAGATTTAGCTCTAGTTGTATATTCTCTAATCCCCCAATGTTTTTATTTTGAAGGCACCTTCCCCACTCAGTTCAGGAAATGGTTACCATAAAGAGAGAGTACAGTGTCCACCAACTGGAACAGATTGAGTCATTAAGGTCTCAGGGCACTGGTCCTTCCATTGAAAACAGATGTGTTCTGGTCATGACAGTCAATGTGTCTGATTGTGTTCTTCCCAGTTCTTACAAAAACCCTATCAGCCGTACCCCAGAGAGAGATTCTTCTGTCCTGGCTGGAGCAAAATGCCCACCAAGGGGGAAATAAACACCAAGACTTGCATGTCAGAAATCGGATTAGCAGAGTTGCTCTTACACCCAGAGGTATCTGAATCATCATAAGTAAAATTGGTAGGCTAGTGATCAACCTCTTTGTATCTAAAAATGGTAAATAAAATGTCCTGGAGCCTGTCTGTGTGCCAGGACCAGAATGTGAGGTGGCAATGACATCTTGCAAAATGAGCAAAGTCTCCTCTTCTATATGTCTTTCCAGCTTGACCATTTTTCCCAAGCCAAAACAAGAATAGGAATGAGAGAGTAGCAGTGAAACTGTTTATGCTTTTCTGGCTGAAGAGTTTATGGTTCTGAGGCCTGAATAAATCTAGCATTGGATTTTCAGAGGAGGTCTGCTATTGCAAGGCTGGTCCTCCAGCTGGGATTAGATGGTTTCAAATGAACACTTGATTGAAGTGAGTGTTGCTCTGATGGACTCCAAAAGAGAAGTCAACCAATAGAACTTATTCTACAGGCTGGTGCAAAGTCCACAGTTTAATTACCATATTAAAACTAGCAAAACATATCCTTGACAGAGGTGCTGGAACAATTTGTATAGTGAGGGTGCTGAGAGCCATTGAATCAACCTGTAAATCCTGTATATGATGGAAATCATTTTAAGTCAGGGGATGCAGCAGCACCTCCAGCACCCCTACTTCCAGCACCTGTGATCCTTGAGTTCCCCCAGGAGTGCTTTATTGTGGGTGTATAAGAATGTCCATGCAAAAAAGTCATATCTCTTTAGTATAATATTCTTGGCATGCTCAAAAAGAGGAAGTTTTGTACAAGTCCCCATGTTAAATACTTCCTTTGGATAAAACTTCATTCAAACCACACAAGGTCATAGAGTTGCTCTTTACAGCCATACTTGAATTGGACCTCAGAAGGAGATGTGGTCTTATTTCCTATCCATTACAGTAGGCCTGCCAGGGGCTCCAATCAGGAGTTTATTTGAAGTTGGGAAACCCGGTATTGTACTTTTAATTCAGACAGGTAGTCCTCACAACTGTCATGGCATTCATTCCTTAAGTAAATTCAAGAAAATTTCCTCCTTCGATTGTCAGTGTCAGGGCAGAGTAGTCATGTCTCTATTGAGATCTGCTTGATATCCACTAGTTCACCAAGTTCTGCTTATTGGTCATCCATTCTTACTCATTGCCATTTCCATTCTTTTGACAGAAGTCATCTCCTCCATATCTTAGTGCCCAAGGGGGCATGGAGAAGATTGATTACATACAATCTACCTCATTTTGGATGTCCATATTTAAAGGATGATCATGCTTCCCTCCCTGGAGGCACACTGCTATGAAAAACCCATTTTAACAGATCTGTGGACTTTAGCATGAAGAGGAATAGAACATTTTTTTGTGCTTTCCTGACAGTTTCCTTCCTTAAAGTAATAAGGTCCACAGATCCCACCCACACTGAAAAGAAATGGATCATTCAGAACAGAGAGAGGATTTCTGTTAATTGTTGTTTGGTGTAATATATCCTTTTCTCCAGTAGGAGAAATTGTTGTACTTTTTCCTCAAAGTATATTTAACACAATCTATCATTTAGAAAAGTAAATT